CCAAAGGTGGGATGTGCACTTTTACCCACTCAAATCTCAATTTTTTTTGCCATTTTTCACAGATTTCCAACTATTTAGCGGATTTTAAATGCATTTGTGACGCAAATTAGAGTTTTTGTGACAAACTGAGAGGCAACAAAATAAGTAAAAAGTGCCAAAAAAGGGTTGATACTTTACAAGACTCTGTGTGTGCTTCTGTTCTGCTGATGGGACGTGTTTTTATTTGAAATCCTGTAGAAATAGAGCCCTGTCTGCATAGCTCTGCTGTCCTGATGAAGCTTGTTTTGCTTAACCCATCTGCAATAACTTCTCCCCTCACAGCTTTAGAAGTGAGACCAGGTCCATTTTAAAAGACGAACATTTAAAAACGATAGAGGAACTGGACGTTTTTTGGAAAGGGGGAGGATTTATTGTAGGAGTGTTTTAGCCTCTGAGAGCCTGTGAATGTGAGTGTGTGTTTTATACTGGTGTGTTTAGATCAGTGTTTTTCAACCTTTTTTGAGCCAAGGTACAGTTTTTCATTGATAAAATCACGAGGCACACCACCAACCAAAAATGTCAAACTAATCTGTATCCGCCTATAGTAACAATATAGTTATTCTTATCTTATACTTATCTTATCTTAAGTGTTTTGAATAGGAATCAAATAAACACAAAAATGTATTTTTATCATATTTTATATTTCTTCTTTCAAATTGCTCTTAACATGTCCACTTCAATATACAAAATTAAATACAAAATCTAGTCATAAGGAATTATTACATGATTACTCCACCAGTCACTAGAACAGCACACACACTTAAAAATGGAATATTATTTGCAGATAATTAATTCCTTATCCAAAAGTCTTTTTAGACCAATTAGGTGAAATAGGATGATTTTCTACAGCACACCTGACCATCACTCTGATACACGCTAGTGCAGTGTTTTTCAACCTTTTTTGAGCCAAGGTACATTTTTTCATTGAAAAAATCACGAGGCACACCACCAACCAAAAATGTCAAACTAATCTGAAGCCGCCTATAGTAACACTATAGTTATTCTTATCTTATTTTAGGTGTCTCGAATAGGAATCAAATAAACACAAAAATGTATTTTTATCATATTTTTTATTTCTTCTTTCAAATTGCTCTTAACATGTCCACTTCAATATGCAAAATTATATACAAAATCTAGTCATAAGGAATTATTACATGATTACGCCACCAGTCACTAGTTAAGCACAGACACTCAAAAATGGCATATTATTTGCAGATAATTAATTCCTTTAGACCATTTAGGTGAAATAGGATGATTTTCTACGGCACACCTGACCATCACTCTGATACTCACTAGTGTACCGAGGCACAGGGGTTGAAAAACACTGGTTTAGATTGTGTCCTGTGCCTTTAAAGGTGCCCTGGCTCCGGGCCCGGGAAAAGGAAGAGGAGCCAAACGCAAACAGCAGCAGCAGGAGGGCACCGCGGCCGGAGCCACCAAGAGAACCCGCAGGTCAGGGGTCAAAGGTCACTGGAGGGGGAAAAACCGGCTTTAGGCAGAAGCTGGGTCAGGTTATTTAGCTGGCTTTATTCAGGTTATTTAGCTGGCTTTATTCAGGTTATTTAGCTGGCTTTATTCAGGTTATTTAGCTGGCTTT